CCATCATCAAAGGCATCCCCGCATGGAGCGTGTTACAGTAATCCAAACAGAATGTAACTAAGGCATGTGTCACTGTAGCCAAATCCGACATCTCAAGGAATGGCCGCAGCTGGTGCACCAGCTTTAGCTGTACAAATGCACTCCTGGACATCAACGAGACCTGGGCATCCAAGCTTAGGGATGAATCCAGGAGTACACCCAAGCTGTGGACCTGAGTTTTCAGGGGGAGTGTAACCCAATTCAGCACAGGTAGTATCCCTGTTCCCTCATTTGCCTTTCAACTAACCAGGAGCACCTCTGTCTTGTCTGGAGTAAATTTCAGTTTGTTTGCCCTCATCCAGCCAATTACTGATGCAAAGCACTGGTTTAGAGTCAGGACAGCTTCCCTGGAATTAGGTGGAAAGGAGAGATCGAGTTGGGTGTCATCCGCATACTTGTCACATCAAACCCCAAAATTCCGGACCTCTCCCAGCCATTTCATGTAGATGTTAAAAAGCATGGGTGAGAAAGCACAACCCTGAGGAACGCCACAGGCCAATGGCCAGGGCGTTGAGCAGGAGTCACCCAGCATCACCTTCTGAGTTCTCCCCTCCAGGAAGGACTGGAGCCATTGAAAAACAGTGCCTCCGAGTCCCATCCCAGAGAGATGCCCCAGAAGGATACCATGGTCAATGGTATTGAAAGCTGATGAGAGGTCCAGCAGAACCAACAGGGACACACTCCCCCTGTCCAGTTCCCAGCGTATGCCATCCACCAAGGTGACCAAAGCTGTCTCTGTCCCATAGCCAGGCCTGAGACCAGATTGAAATGGGTCTAAATAATCCACTTCTTCCAGGAATCTCTGGAGCTGAGAAACCACCACATGCTCCAGTACCTTGCCCAGGAATGGGATTTTTGAGACTGGATGATTTGATAACTACTGATACACAGTAGTTATCCATAAACAATGTTCTACTTCCTAATTCCATACCAAAGGGAGACTTTTGTTAAGTCAACCAAAAAGTCACAGAGAAGTGTGCACCCTTTCAAGAATAGTATCTTATTCTTATATCTTATCAGAAGTGTTGAAAGACTGTCCAATACAAAAGGCAACTGAACGATGAAATTTATTATATAAATGGCTTGAGTCACCAGATAGTAGTTGAATAACATAGATTAAAACTAGGATGTAAATGTAAGTTAAAACCTGGAGGGCAATCAAATAGAAGAAAAGCGGAAAGTCGAGTTGATATTGTAACATGAATAGATTGGAAGTCAGTACATTTTGTGTTCTCCTCTCCCTCCTTTTTTCTTCCCTCATATCCCCCCTTACCTTCTGTACCCCTTACTTTATCCCAACATAAGGAAGAACAACCTTCAGAACACGGCCAAAGAGCCCGAAAAACCCAGAACAACCATTATCCCAAGTTGTTAATAAAAAAAGAGAAGAGTATCTCTTCATTAGACAAGATCTTAAGAGTAAGTAGATGAGGGAAAATGTCTGTTTTACTTTCATTCTTCATGCATCTGCACTTGGCATTCTAAGATAAACACCATCCTGGTACATCAGATGATACCATTTGTTAATCAGGTCCTACTTTTAAGTATAAGGATACAGTGGACAAAAAGCCTGTAAATATGTGAACTGAACTGGTGTACAAATATATGGCCTATGGAATGGACTGCCTATAGAATGTCACTGAGGAAGTCTTTGGTTTGTTTCATACAAAGCACAATGGACTGCTTTTTGTTGGGAAAAAGGGCTGAGGATTCCTTCCAGTCTGGACCTTTGCATGATGGAAAGAGCAAAAAAAGGCATATACAGTGGTGCCCCAGTTGATTACCCCGACAGACGACAAAATTGCTTGACAATGATGTTTTTGTGATCGCTATAGCGATCGCAAAAACAATGATTCAAATGTTTTTTTTTCACTTTTCGGGAACCGATTTTTCGCTTCACAAGGATTTTAAAACAGCTGATTGGCGGCTCTCAAAATGGCTCCCTGCTGTTTTGCTGACATTTTGCAAGACAGGGAGCAGAAAATGGCTGCCCTATGGAGGATGTTCGCTGCACAATCAGATATTTCCCCCACTGGAACGCATTGAACGGTTTTCAATGAATTTCAATGTTTTTTGTGGTTGTTGTTTTTTTTGCTTGACCACGATTTCACTGTACAGCGATTTTGCTGGAATGCATTGTCATCAAGTGGGGCACCACTGTACATGATTGCTGTGGCAATAAGACTCTAACTGATCTGGAAGACAACGGACAAGGCTATAACTATGGAAACTTACAAGGGCTCTAGGTCCAAAATGTACCCTGATAAGATGCTATAGTCACATCATGTGCCACAGAACGAAGAGATTATTTACTTTCTGGGAATAATGAAAAAGTGTTACAATGCACTTTCTCTTCCAGCTTGCCATCTAGCAACACAGAACTGAATTTTAGGGGTGAAGGTAAGGAAACCAGTCAGAATGCTGGAAGATTAGGGGCACCAGTGGAGCAAGAAATAATTATTGCTTAGGATTCAGAGTCACATTCATTCATGCTCACATTCAGGCTCACATGCAGATGTTTTGTTCAGTTCACTTTTTTCTCATATAATCTTTACTTTTGCAGATTTTGACTGCTCTGGGGCTTTTAGGTCTAAGTTTGTCTTGATTTTGAGAGAAGTTTCAGTTTTTATAATGGGTTAGACTAATCCAGGATATTCTACATCTCCCTTAATGTTTTGTTTAAAATGGGGGGGGGGAGAGATTTCACAATTCTATTTTACATTTTTCCTTCTGCTTTTCTCATCTGGATTCTCCTGGATCAATTTCCCCACATATACCCCTGAATCTTGAGGAACCTGTTCCTTGGAATAAGTAGCTACATGTCTTTCTTTCTCAACCTTTAGGCCAAAGAGCTGGATCATAGTGAGCTTCAACTAGAGGACTAGTGGAAGTTAGGGGCAAATGTAGTGTTTTATAAAGGGCTAAGTGTGACTGGTTTTGCATAACTCTAAATTCATCTGATACTTAAATATAGGTAGCTCTGCTTTGCACTTTTCATTTCACCATTGTATTGTGTTAGAAATTAATTTATTTCCCTTTGATTTCTTTTACATTGTGTCTTCATTTTTGCATCTTATTCCTTGTTTATCTGCTGTGATTTATCTTTAAATTAATTGCACCTGTGGATAGCCACTGGGACAAATAAAGGACCTCATTTTCACTGAGTAAGGCTAACACACATCTGCTTTAACTCTCTTCAACAGTCTCATTTTTTCAAGCATAGTTGTATTTTCCTGCTTAAATTTAAAAACACAAAGATTCATAGAATTTTTGTGACATGAAAATGCATACCTGTTTTGTGTGCACAAAAAAATCTTAAATATTTTTGCACAGTTTCCAAATACACATTTAAAACCTTATCTTAATATACAGTATGGCTGTTTTCCAAGCATATGCATTTTTGTTTATCATCCTCAGGTTTTGAAGGGAGAACTCCATTGCACATTTTAGAGAAGTGCAAAAACTGAGAGATAATTGTGTTCTAGTCTACATATTTATTTCACAGGATCAGGTTAGTAAATAAATGCAAACCTAACAGGTTTTATCTCATCTATTCTAAATAGAGTCACAACAGGTTCAATGACCATATGAATTTACAAATAGTGCTCAACTTGAGGTGCGAAGAGCAGGTGATGTAGTGGGGGAGATGCAGCACAGAATAGGTAGAGAAGTAGTACATTAATACCTGGCTACTCTACATGAATTCAAGTCTCCAGGGCCAGACGAATTACATCCAAGGATATTAAAAGAACTGACAGAAGTAATTTCAGGACCATTGGCAATAATATTTGAGAATTCTTGGAGAACAAGAGAAGTCCCCACAAACTGGAGGAGCGCAAATGTTGTCCCTATCTTCAAAAAGAGGGAAAAAAGACCCAAATAATTATTGCTTCAGTCATCCTGGAAAAATTCTAAAGCAGATCATTAAACAGACAGTTTGTTATTACTAAGAAAGCAATGCTGTCATCACTAAAAGGCAAAGAGGCAGTCCTGAAAGCAGGCAAATCAGGGAGCTGGATAGGGGACAGACTGTATATGTCTCCAGTGTGTAAGGGATTGCCACTCTCGAACTGGCCTTCTCAGCCACACTAGACGCTGTTCCAAGACCTCTATTCAGAACACGTCACCATAGTCTCTCAAGACTGAAGGATGCCTACACATCACTAAAAGTCAACATGGATTTCTCAAAAACAAGTCATGCCAGAGTAATCTGATCTCTTTTTTTTTATAGAGTTACAGGCTTGATAGATGAAGGAAATGCTGTAGATGTAGCATATCTTGATTTCAGTAAGGCCTTTGACAAAGTTCCCCATGATATTCTTGTATAGACAATAATAAATTTTGGGCTAGACAGTGCTACTGTTCGATGGATTTGTAATTGGTTGACTGACTGAACCCAAAGAGTGCTCACCAATGGCTTCTCTTCATCCTGGAGAGAGATAACTAATGGGGTGTTTAAATATTTGAAGGGATGTCATGTCGAGGAAGGGACAGGTTTGTTTTCCACAGCTCCAGCCACTAGGACAAGGAGCAATGGTTTCAAACTACAGGAAGAGATTCCACCTGAATCTCAGGAAGAACTTCCTGACGGTCAGAGCTGGTTGGCAGTGGAATCTGCTGCCTCGGAATGTGGTGGAGTCTCCTTCTTTGGAAGTTTTTGAGCAGAGGCTGGATGGCCCTCTTTCAGGAGTGCTTTGATGGAGTTCCTGCATGGCAGGGGGTTGGATTCAATGGCCCTTGTGGTCTCTTCCAACTCTGTGATTCTATGATTTGTTATGTTATGTACCCTTAAGTCAAAACTGACTTGCAACTACCCTAATAGGGCATTCTACCCAAAGTAACTGCTTGGCTTACTTCTATAGTCAGGTGTCTCTTCATAAGGACACACTGAGGTACATGTGGGGCAGTGTTCTATAGTACCAAGTCAAATAACTACATTACACACCATGGTCCCCACTTACTTGATTCTCTGACATTGCAATCTTGAAGATTACATTTCTGGACAGTCCCTGGCTGTTGTTCATGGTCACATAGGCTGGTCCCGTCTTCTGCTTCTCCAGTTTTTGTGTTTATACACTTCACTTGCCTTCTCTGGATGCCCCCACCACATGTGGCACTGCACTGCAAAAAGTGAAAAAGTGTTAATTACCAAACCATCATCTGCCCTGTGCAGAACCAAACAAGGAAAGCCTTTCAAAGACAAAGAAGCATTGTAATATGTAACAATTGTATATAAGTGTCTTTTTCCACAAAGGAGAGTCAGTCTTGTTCCCCAATTCACTGTAGAGCTAGTGGTGATAAAACAAATGGGATGGACACTAGAGCAACAACAGTGGAAAACCCAGAGTGACTCTGACTGAACATGGGCCAGGGCCCACTGAAAAGCCACCACCCTGACAGTGAAGAAGTAATTCTTCTCTGGCACCATTGTGTCTTCATAGAGACATCCGACAGAGCTCTTTCAAATAGTCACGAGCCACAGGAAGAGAATGCAAACCACGCTGTAGCCCACTATGAAGAATTTGTGCATTAATTTGCAGGCAAAATTGCTACAATCTGTTCTGACCTGAATGCCACAGTTGATACAGGTCCTGTGAATGGTACTAGAACCCTGTTTCTCCAGTGTTAATGGATAAGTTTCAGTCCTTGCAGATTGATTATGTGAACTGGACCCTTTAGAGGTGAAGACTTCCACAAATCTTGGATCCTTGCCCTTCTTGGCTTGTAAAATCCGCTGGAGAGAGACTGGCTGAGTGGATAGGAGGTTAATGCCTCCCTGCAACAGGATAGGATCCCAGCACGCTTAAAGAAGGCATTGCTGAAAAAGCCCTCCTTGGATCCCATGGCATTGGATAATTACTGACCAGTCTCTTATGTCCCATTTGTGGGCAAGATATTGGAGTGTGTGATGGTTTCACAGCTCCAGGGGTTCCTGGATAAGACAGTTTATCTAGGTATTTATTTCTTTATTTATTATACCACCCATCTGGCTAAAGGCCACTCTATCCAGATCCATTTCAATTTGGTTTCAGGCTGGGCTATGAGATGAAGATTGAATGATAGATGTTTTGTATTCATACATTTAAATAGAATAAAAACAAGTTTTGAATCTGCTAGGAGATTATGATCTTTAACCCATTGTGTGTGCTTTCTGTCAAGCTATGACAATAGACTTGATCATGTTTTGAGCTAAGGCAAAATCAGATGGCCAAAAGCTATGTGCCTGCAAGTTTGATCATTTAGGAGTTTCCCATAGGAATAAAAGGTAATATTCATTTGGGGCATGATGACTTTGCAGTGGTCAGCCTTTTCTGTTGGGAGTTCATCCTTTCCCAATGTTAGGAAGGAACTTTAAGAAAAATTTTGCATTCTATTTCTTCTATCTATCTAACTTTTTTTAAAAAAAGACTGTTTTTACTGTCTTGCTGAATGACCTATGCTGGAAACTAGATATGGGGAGTATATCCTTGTTGGTTCAGCTGGACCTATCAGTAGTTTGGCCATGGCATCTTTCTGGGCCATCTCTCTGTGATGGGACTTGGGAGGCACTGTTTGATGGTGGCCCAGGTCCTTCTTGGGGGCAAGAACTCAGAAGATGTTTGGGGACTCCTATTCAATGCCCTGGTATCTCTCAGGGTTCTGTTTTTTCATCTGCATGAAACTATGGAGAAAAGTTGTCCAGAGTTTTGGGGTTAAGTATCAGCAGTATACACATGACATCCATCTCCTTTCCATCTAAATCCAAAGAAGCTGTTTTGGTTCTGGATCAGTGTTTGGTGTCAGTAATGGACTAGATGAAGGCAAATAAATGGAAGCTTAATCCAAACAAGACAGAGGTGTGTTTGATGTGAACACGACAGAGGTCCATCTCTGTCACTGCTCCCAAATTCTGGAACTCCCTTCCATGGGAGGCCAGGTTGGTCCCATGTTTACTGTCTTTCTACAAGCAGGCAAACACTTTTCTGATGGTTGTTGCAGGTTTTTTGGGCTTTTTGGCTGTGTTCCAGAACACGACCAAACAGCCTGAAAAACCTACAACAACCATCGGATCCAGGCCATGAAAGCCTTTGAGAACACAAATACTTTTCTATTCAGGCAGACTTTCTTTTAATGACTGGTTGACTAAGGTAACGGTTCCCCTTGATATTTAGTCCAGTCATGTCCAACTCTAAGGGGCGGTGCTCATCCCTGTTTCCCCAGTTGACTAAGAGGAGTTCTTAAAGGGACAGTTGTGTTTTAGTTGTTTTTAGTGTTTTTAATATTATTTTTATCTACAAGTTTTTAATATGATGTTTAATTATTTTTTAATATTGTAATGATTTGTTTGGGCTTTTAATAGTTTCTTTTAATACTGTTAGCTGCACTGGATTCTTTTTAGGAGAAAAGCTATGGATGAATAAAGACAATAATCAAAGCAATCCAAGGGACATTCGAACTGAATTGTTCCTAGCAGGAATTCAATAAAGTTATCATTCTGAAGGTTTGTTTACCTGTCCCCAGGAACCTACTGTCCACTTAGTGCATGGGTGGATGTTGCAAGATCTTGTATTTTTTGGTTGGAGTGCTTCATCACACCTTCCAAATTCTGGGCAGGTAACCAGGCGTTCTTGTTCCCCACCACCACATAGCTCAGAGCACTAGTCAGAAGGAAACAAATAATCAAACAAGTTTTGAATCTGCTAGGAGATTATGATCTTTAACCCATTGTGTGTGCTTTCTGTCAAGCTATGACAATAGACTTGATCATGTTTTGAGCTAAGGCAAAATCAGATGGCCAAAAGCTATGTGCCTGCAAGTTTGATCATTTAGGAGTTTCCCATAGGAATAAAAGGTAATATTCATTTGGGGCATGATGACTTTGCAGTGGTCAGCCTTTTCTGTTGGGAGTTCATCCTTTCCCAATGTTAGGAAGGAACTTTAAGAAAAATTTTGCATTCTATTTCTTCTATCTATGCAGCTTGCATATTCAGTGTTTTAAAAAAGCATTCTACTCCCCCCCTCCTTTCTCAAAAGTACAAGAGACTGAAAATGTCACATTTCTATCTAAACAGTATCATATACAAATTGTAGAACTAGAAGTGATTCAGGTGTCACTGAGACCAATCCTCTGTTACAAAATCCCTAGCTAAAGAATCATGGATAGTCATCCAACCTCTTTGAAAACTTCCAACAAGAGGGAGTTTGCCATGTTCCAGAGTTATCTGTTCCACTGCCAAACAATTATTACTGACAGAAACTTCCACCTGATGCTTTTCTCGTCATATGAATGAATTGGTTTGGTTGAGAACCAATGACGTATGGAAAAACAAGTTTGGTTCTGCTGTTACAGCTTTTCCAATATTTTGAGATGGCTACATATCGTCTTCCTCTTCTCAAGGTTAAATTTCTCCAGCTCCCTCAATCATTCCCCATAGCACTTTATTATTAATCAATACTAATGCATTAAACAGATGTTTCGGTGGAATGGAAACAGGTAGAAGTCTGTTTCTCTTCCACTCATGCTGGCCAGTTTGTGACACCAGACTGATCTTGCTAATAACATTTTGCTGAGATTGATACAACTGGCAATTGTTCTGTATCCAAAGTAGCATCCGTGCTAAAATGGATGCAAGAGATTTTACTGTTGAAGTGACCCATGGAGTCTATAGGCTGCATAAAGCCAAACCTGGGAAGAGATGTACTGCACAGATGCAACACTTGCAATGTCAAAAGAAAATAAGATGTGATTTGGCAAAATAAGTTTTATCAACTTAAAATTACTTGGTCAGATTCATTTTTTATCAATTTAAAAGGAACCTCTGGTTTTGTGGAAAGCTATGAAAGGGGATGGTGGTGATTTTGCTTGACCTCAGAGTTATTTTTCCATGAAAATAAAAATGAATGAAAGCTGTACAATGGAACTTCATATATGTTGCAACCCAGCCAAGCCAGAGGTTACAATAAGAAGAGTGGACTTTTAGGAGTGAAAACTGATGAACAAGAGAGGCACACCCCAGCAGTAGGCGACTCAAAGTCTACCCCCATCTTTGCTTATCCTTGCCCCACCTCTCTCCAGGATGAAGTGTACCAGCCTAGGCATGGTTTGTTTTTGCAGGTCATCTGTATTGGTGGCTTATACAGGACACCCTGGCAGTGAAAAGGACGAAGATGTCGCTGGTCTCGAGAGTCAACACAATGGATGTCCCGAAATTTCACACCATCTCCACAGGTCCTGGAGCACTAGGAAACAAACAATGATGGTACAAGCAAATCTATCCATTTAGAATCATAGAATCAGGAAGTTGGAAGGGGCCATATAGCACTCGCTATAAGGCCATTGAATCAACCCCCCTGCTCAGTACAGGAAAACAGATCAAATGCCATTGAATCAACCCCCCTGCTCAGTACAAACAGATCAAACGACATCTGCCACATGGTTGTCTAAATTTCTCTTGAATACGGCCACTGTTGGAGCACTCACTACCTCTTGAGGTAAACAAACTCTCGAGGTAAACAGCTAGTAGCCCCTCCATTTTCAGCAGGAGCCCATTCTTCTTCTGTTACCTGTCTCAGTGGTGCTAAGCCCAGTGACATCTGTGAGCTCTAAAGTATCACAGAACTGGAAGTGATCATGCTGGGTATCTATGACTGAGCTCTAATTCAACACAGGAGCTGCAAATCAGGCTGCAACTCTAGGATACCTGACAGATGAGCATCCAATTTCTATGTAAACACCTCTCAAGATGTCTCCACATCAGGTCCAATGCAGATAGTTTGACCGTTTAACAGGTTTTGTGAGGAGAGTTCTCCTAATGCTGAGCTAAGAAGGTGTGGTAGCTTAAAACAAAAGGATAAAATCATTAAAGGTGGTGGTGGTGTGGTGTAAAGCAGTGGTTCTTAACCTTGGGTAACCCAGGTGTTCTTGGACTGCAATTCCCAGAAGCTTTCTCCACCAGCTATGCTGGATGTGGCTTCTGGGATTTGCAGTCCAAGAACACCTGGGTTACCCAAGGTTAAGAACTACTGGTGTAAAGAACCACACTGTTGAGACATAAGAGGTCCAAAGGCCTTCTCCACATAGAGCTTTGTTGTCTTGATCTGATTTGTCTACCTTGCTCCAGTTTCCGATGCGCCAGGTGGCACATGGCCGTGGGTAGCATCTTTGGGCAGGAACTGGCTTTGCAGTATGGCTACAGTCCTCCTCCTTTCCAGAGCTACAGCGTACACTCCTCCAAATAGCACCAAGGCCACAAGTAGTAGAGCACTAGAACAAAACAATAACAGCCACCCTCAAATCATAAACAACCCTCCCTGCTTAGATACATAAAGTCAATAGACCCTAATACCCACCTTCCCACCGTAGAGGTTTAAGACCCCAACACTGACATCTGCAGAACCTCCCCATTCATATGCTCTTCCTTAAAGCTCATCAGCTTTCTCACCGTGCCTCTGAAGCCTCTCAGAGTCACTACAGACTGAACTAAGATGTTCCAGATTGAAAGGATATCAGATATAGCCTCAAAGAGCCAAGACTTTTTACACCCTTGCACTTATCCCACAATATTTACACCCCCACACCTATCCCAGATATTTTATATCTAAGTATGACACGAAATCCAGAGAAAATCTATAGAGCGAAGAGTTTCATATGAATCTTATTTACCCTTCATAAAAAGAGGAGAAATAGATGAGACCTGTTACTGTTGCCTACAGTGAAGTAATAGGTTTGCCAGGCAGTATTGCCTGCTATAAAGGTAGCACTTGCTTCCCACAGAACTTGCCTGACTCCAGTTTCCAACTTCCCAGCTGGTGTTGAAAACAGATGCTAGAATAGCAGAGGGAACCAAAGAGGGTAACATTTTATTTTTAACTTCATGGTGCTTGGAAGGAATGGAGCTGGGCCTGACATCCCCATTGCCATTAGCAAATATCCAGTGAACTCTATTGGATGAGCTTTCATTTCTATCCCTGAAGGAATCTTGACCTCCAATGGTAGAGTTATGTTCTGTGTCCAGGTCAATCTTCATTGCACTATATTCTTTCAGTGTTGGTGTGGCTGGCATAGAAAGAGAAGAATTAGAGAAAACTGGGCTGTGCACCACAGATGTCGGTTCAGCTGGGAATGGAAGCCCTTTTGAGTCTGAATTGTGAGATGCAAGTATCTCCCTGTAAATAGTAACTAATTCATGTGCAGAGCTGTGGGGGGACACTTCTTGTGGTGGGTCAGCTGTAGGAGGCAGTGAATACTTCTCCACTGACACATCAGTGGGAGAGCGCTGGTGGCTTTCTACATCTGCTATGTTGTGGCTCTTGTCATTTCTCAACCTATATGAACTCCTAATGTTAGGGGTGGTATCAGTAGAATGAGATGGCTGATGGGTAGAGTGGTAGAATGGTCTACCTGCTGTGACTGTGTTGATCTGAACGTCTTTGATTCTTTGAAGTGTACCTGCATTATCTTCACTATTAACAAAGGTATTAACTATATTATTTTGCTCTACATTGCTTTTTTCAGCCATGTTCCGCAAGACACCACTTTTAATATCACCACCACCAAAAACCTTTGAGCTTTTCCTGTTTAGCATCCTAGCATTAGACTGCTGTCTGCTGTCAGGAGCATGAGACTCATTTTCCTGACTGCTGCTATCTTTGCCAGAAGACATCACTGAAGTTAGGTCAGCAGAGGAGGGAACGTTCGTAGAGAATGGTAAGGCTACCACATTCTCTTTAGAAACTTTGTTTGTAGAAAGGTTTTCTTGGGTCTTACCAATAGACACATGATTGCTGCTAGTGAGAAAATGTTTAATTGTCAAATTGGAGGCCTGGGTACCTTTTTCTTTGATTACAGGGGGAGTGGTGACTGAGAAAGTAGAAACTGAACCAACAGAACCATGCAAGCTGACAGTAGTGTTGTTGTCTTGAATTATAACTAGTTCTTTGTCATCACTTTGGCCAATAACTGGATAGTGCAAGTATTCATTTGTCGTTGTGCTCTCTTGCTTTCTGGTTGGGAGAAAACTGGGATGCATGTCTTTCGAATCTTTCTTTGTGTTGTTAACAGTTTTCAGCCAAACTGGCTTCAGGTCCTTTCTTCCACTATCATTTTCATCCATTGGGTCATACGACAGATCTTCATGGAAGTTGATGAAATTATAATCATAGTAAAAATCATCTACAAACACATTTCCCTTTTCATTGTCAGTGGGCAAAAAACTTTGCTCTATTATGACATTGAGGTCTTCAGATTTGGGCATTGAAGGACTAAATTTGGAGAAGTGGTGGTTCGGGATGAAACTAATTTCATTAAACAGTTCCTTGCTTGAAGAACCACTCCCAGACCACTCACTGCTTTCTATTCTATTCCAGCATGGTGTTAATGAACATGCAATTTCAGACACTGGTCTTTGTAATGGATTGCAGGTTTTTCTGGGGCAGTAAACTGGACGTTGTCTTGTCCCGCTCCCACATGTCACTGAGCACTAGAAAGACAGGAGAACAAAATGAGTATGATAGACAGTGATAGTTAGGACAGTTTGGATGAGATATATGTGGCACAGTGGACTGTCTCACTGTGTATTTATGCAGAAGGCACAGAAAAGTACAAAGTAAAGGCCATTTTCTCCTTCTTATACATGCCCAGGTGTCTGTGTGTTGTATTTTAAATCCCAGTGAGAAGCGTTTTTTGCTTCAGTAGTTCCTTATGGGTGGAATTACTGTGGGCCGCTCAGCTCTCAAGGCCTTCTTGGATAGTGACGCTTACCTTTGTACCTCCATCTTGGATCTTCTCCTTTTCTGACTTTTTCATTTTTATTTGGGGGGGAATTCCCCCCCCCATTTCTTAGGATTACTTTTAGTGCCACCACCAGGAAGCCTAGCTTTGCTAATATTTCTCCCTGCAATTACTTTTTGGGTCCCCACCCTACCCATATTCTAATAGTTTTGGTTTGAGGTGAACATCTGATTGTATGTCTTGCCTTTATTTGTTTGCTTGCTTTTCTTTTCACTTACAGAAGGGTCTGAGGGTGTACTACATTAGTAGCAGGAAAGGAGCTAGTGTGAGTCACTTTGGAATGGTCAAACTTGATTAGAGCAATCTAGTCGACCCCAACGATTCACGGGGAAATTGTTCTTGCATCCAAAGCAAGCCTTCAGATTGAATTTGGCAATATCGTGAAGTGGCTTAATAAAATCAATTATTAGATTAATATTGACAAATTAATCACTTCCTCTGTCCCTCAGCAGAGGGGCAAGGTTAGTGAAAATTTCTTTTGCCTGTAAAAATCTAAGCGAGGAATATGGACTATCACATATGTGCTACACATTATTTTAAAAAAATCTTTTCTTTGCCACCTGGATACAGCTGTGGGTGGTTTCTTGATCAGTCCTTTAAGATGATATACATACATACATACATACATACATACATACATACATACATACATACATACATACATACATACATACATACATACATACATACATACATACATACATACATACATACATACACACACACACACACAGTATAACTGATTGCAGTGCATCAGTAACATTCCATTACACAATCAAGAGGAAAAAGAAGAACTGCAAAGACCAGAGGAAGTGATAAAGTTGCCAATATTCTGAAATAGTTTCTTTATATCTTGGCAAATTCACACTGGAAGACATCCTTTGGATCAGTTCCAGTGATCACATACGCTGGAAGTGATCCAAACCAAAGTGTTCCTACCCACACCAAAAAGTAGAGGCCCCTGACAGGGACTCAGAAAGATATGAATAGGACCTACAATAATTAAAATTCAATACAATAAGATATGAATAGGACTACCCAGGGAGAGTGGGCTGGTTCATTCCAACAAAGATATCTGGTCTCTGTTTTTTAAAATGAATGTCCATTCCTGCAGCAGACTAAGCAGCAAGCTAAATGACTCTATAATTACTGCTGCATGAGACTACAGCAATAGATATTGGGCAATAGAGCACATCAACATTCTCTAAGTTAACTCAAAAATCGGGAGACACTAAACAAAGAAATATAACTTTGAAAAAGGACCTTAAATCAGGACCAAATTTGGCACCAGTCTGCTCTTGTTTGTACAACATTTGGGAACATTTGGGCAAATGGTTTTCAAGTCAAGATTTTAAAAATATAAAGCTGTTTTACCCCACCCCCATGCAGACACCGGTGACCTTTTCTGTCTGCAATTTTTTTAAAAAATTAAATATTTTGGAAAGACCAAACTTGCTTATCTTAAAAAAGAATGGCTAGTGCCAGCCACTTTTCTTATTTTGAAGGAATCCAGGCATTAGAGAGGGGATTGTGGGGTGCACTACCTGAAAAAAAGCTATTTGAGAGGGGAGGAAAGCTCTGAGTTTATAACTTTCTTATGAACTATAAGCATGAACATTTTAAACATTAATATTTAATGACTCTCAGGAGAACTTTTTAAACCTTTCCTAGCCAAAAAAACGTTAAAAAGAGTTTTTATTTCTGGCGTGAAATTAAAAGATATTTTAAAAAATGAGAACAAATCTTCAGAAGCTCACTCATTTAAGCTGTGAAATTACTGTTTTTTTCCTTTGTGCCTGGAGATGATTTTAGAACTTGGGTGTCTATCCCACCCATCTTGTCACTATACCATTGTTTGGTAATTAAAAAAAAAAGCTCCAAAGATGTTATGTGCCATCAAGTCACTTCTAATGTGTGGTGACTATGAGTGAATGACTTCTAAAACATCCTATCATTAAGAGCTCTGATCGGATCTTGCAAACCAACAGCATCTCATGTTAGGTTGCAGCAATATTGTCTTTTTCAGTACGTTCTGCTGAGGTCTCACAAACAGCTGTTGAGTCAACCCATCTCACATTAGGTCTTCCTCTTTTCCTACTTTTCCACCCCAGTTTTTCAAGTAATATAGACTATTCTGATCGCTTCTATATTGCCATTATATATGCATGGTAGGATAGCCTCATCTGACTAATTCTTGCTCATTTGTGCAGCGTTATTGAGCCATTTCTTGGCTTTCTGAATTATGAGTGGGCACAATGAGCACAATGTCCCAAATTCATAAACCAGAGGTTTTTAAAGAATTGAATCAGTCTCGGTTTGACATGATATATTCTGGTATAGTTTTAAAAAGAGTGAATTTGTTTCATTTTTAAACTGCACCAGGACTTCTATCTAAGCTGCTCAATGCTAGAAGGCTTCATAGCTATTGGTGGCACTGGGGTTGGGGTTTGTAATGCAACAAAACTAGAGCCACTGGAGCTGCCCCTTAGGTGGAACAGCACTGTTGTCCAGTAAGTGTCATGAAGGCTGCAAAGCCACCTTGGCACTAGCGGGCTGGGAACATTGTTTTTGCCAGAAAGGGCAGCTCCAGAAGCATCTTTTCCCCTTATGGCAAGGGGAGAAAGCTGCCCAACCCTGGCACTGTCAGCAGCAGCAAAAGGCCTCCCACTGCTGGTCAGCCTTGGAACCACTGATTGCTCCACACCCTGGAGGCAAAGATTCACATTAAATGACATTTGAAACAGGCCTTTTTTCAGATAACTTTTTATATACAATATCTAGTTCTCATCTTGGTTTTTGGGAGAAGGGATTGTGTGTATGTTTTTAATTTTGCTCTTTTTCCCTCTGTATATAGTGATGGGGTGCTTCCTCAGAGATTTTTTAAAACAATTGATATTTTGTTATTTTACTAGGTGCTTAGTCTATGAAACATGTATATTTTGATGCTATTTTGTTTGCGTGGGTGGGTGGGTTGGGGGTGGATGCTGTACCTATGCCAATATTCCACTGGGCTGTGTGAATATCACAATATGATCTAGTGCCTGCATAAGTCTGATAATGATTTTTTGTTCTCATTATATTGTTGTCTGCTTTCAGAGTAGATTGATTCTCTGTTGCCTTGCCTCTCTGCCTTTTTGGAGTACAGTAGTTTTTAAAGGTTCTTTAGGGCTTTTAGAGTGTTAGGAAACAAATAGGAAAACTCAGAATGAGCTACCTGAAATAACGTCTGTCTTGTAACACGAAAGATCTAGTGTATGAAAAACAAAAGCGGCATCCCCTGAAAGAACTGAAATTGGACCAAACATGAACCTTTTCATCATATACATCTCTAGTGACTCAACATATGTTGAGATTAAGCTGTCTGAAACATTATAGTCTCACATATAAATCCTCCAGAGAAAGCTTTCTATCAATTCCATCACAATCATGCTACATTTGGCGAGACTAAAACAGTCTCTGGAACTCCCTTCTGTAAGAAAGCCAGATATCTTTTTCAGTTGTTTGGGGGCTTTGATTTTTAAGCTGGGTTGCTGTCAAACAGGTTTTAACAGGCTGAATACTGTTCCTTCTTTTTAATTAGACATATTTTAATTGCAACTGGCTGGATAGATCAGTGAGTTAGGTGTCTGACTGTGGAGACAGAGCTGGGGAATTCAATTTAGTTTCCCACTGTGCCTGGGACAAACTGCACAGTCCCAGAATGACCTCCGAAGAGAATGGTAAACCACTTCTGAGCACTCTTTACATAGAAAATCCTGAGAAGATTCACCATAAGTCAGAATTGATTTGATGGCACACTACTATTATTTTAATTATATTTTAATATATTTTTTTCTGTTTGCTTTTATTTCTATATTATAGAAGTTAGATGACTTGAGTACCATTTTCTGGAAGAAATGCAGGACATACATTTAATACATAAGAAAAAAATGAAAAGGGCAATTAGAGTAGCAAATGCTTCACAAGATCATCTGTATTTTCAGTTTCTATCATTTGAGAGGTTCCCAGGGAATGAATTTAAATTTGCTAACTGGAAGAAACAAGGCATACGAAGCACACTTATTTGAGGCATCAAAACAACCCACTTTCCAAAAGTAGTTTCAAAAGTGTTAATTCCACAAGAGTTTTCAGTTTCTTGTTATTTTCTCAAGATTGTGAAACTGAGAGATTCTGCTGTTATACCTTGAAAGGAAGTCCTTAGCTGAGAGTCTAAGGACAATAAAGTGCAGGATGGATGCCCTTTCCTCCTACAACCCTCCCCATTCTTTGTTGGGTCTTGCTCTCAATGTCATTTTCATTTGAAAGCATCAAATCTACATTTATAAGTGAAGCATGAAAAGTTTTGAAAGCAGTAGACTCATAGGCGTCTGCCAGACTTGATCTCTTGTCCAGTTTTTTCTTGAATGCCTCTAGTGCTGGAGCGCTCACCACCTACTAAGATAATTGGTTCCATTATCGTACTGCTCTAACAGTTAAGATGTTTTTCCTGATATTCAGCCTAAATGTGGCTTCTTGTAGCTTGAGCCCATTATTATGTGCCTTGCACTCTGGGATGATCAAGAACAGATCCTGCCCATCCTCTTACCTCAGACCAGTTCCCTGTAATCCACTGAGCAGGGCAGAGGACCTCTCGGTTGCATGGGGCTGTGGCATTGGGCTTGGAGAGATTCTGGCATTTGCTGGGTTGCAAGGCTTGCTGCTCATCCAGGCCAACACTCTGAATACAGAGGACAGTTCTCTTCATCAGACCATTGTCACCACAAGAGGCAGAACAAACCTGCCATTCACCAGTCCACCACCTGAAATGACCAGCAAGATTTAAAGTCCAATAGGTTGCCACTTAGACCTCAATGCTGAACACATTAGTCCAATAAAAGATACTTCAACATCTACTGTGCTATTAGTAGAAACTGCTAAGGAACGTGGCCTTATACTCCATCAGCCCATTTGTTCAGCTAGTCTAATAATGCTCACACCAGCTGGGATCCAGTAGGTGTCTGGCCATGGGGAAATGGACTGCTGCCTGACATCAATTTGACTGCATGCTGAGCCTGGGCCTACTTTCAAAGTATATATAAGATCATTGATTGTTGTGGATTTTTCGGGCACTTTGGCCGTGTTCTGAAGGTTGTTCTTCCTGACGTTTCACCAGTCTCTGTGGCCGGCATCTTCAGAGGACTGGGGTAGGAACTCTGTCCCTGCTCAGAGACGTTATCCAACAAACAACAATAAAGCATGGACAGAGTTCCTACTTGAGTCCTCTGACGATGCCGGCCACAGAGACTGGCGAAACGTCGGGAAGAACAACCTTCAGAACACGGCCAAAGAGCCCGAAAAACCCACAACAACCATTAGATCCCGGCCGTGAAAGCCTTCGAGAATATATATATAAGATCACTGAGTGGTGGGCTTTTGCATCACTGGACCCACCATTGGACTGCAGAAGAGGAACAGTTTCGTTCTCTGTTCTCACATCTTCCGTGACACAGGAAAGCCTCCAGGATCAAGCCCTATTACCACTTCAGACTGGTCTCTTGTACAGACCTAGATAGACAGTGTTCTCTTTCCTAGGCCATCATTTCATTCAGAGAGGGAGACAAACACTCTTTGGACACAAAGGTAGCAGCAAATCTGAAGAACAAGGGAGCTGACCTAGCTGGACATGGCTCCATGCTACAAGTCCTCTGCTTGTCCTCAGGACGGTTGAGCACATCACAGTAGCGCTCTTCCACAACCCCAATGACCTTCTCAATGCAATGTGCAATCTGTCTCTGAATACCTACGGAAGAAAGAAGAGATTATGGCAGTGGTGGTGGATGAACATGCACAGGTGCATTTTTGTATGCCAAAAACCCAATGATACGTGGATCATATGTTTGGGTAGCACTGCCCCTTCCACAACTGAAATCCATCTATAATTAGTAGGGGCACAGAATTGTTTAGCTTTTCCGAACCTGATCTGGATATCTGAGAACCTGAACACAGAGTGTGGCAGGTGAGCAGCATCCATTCATTAAGATTCACAGTGAAATACTAAAATAAGGGGTTACCTTTTGTGACATCTTAGAAATAGGTCTCTGAGATATCATGGGCAAAGGCAAGTGATCGTAGGAATGGAATTTGATCAAATCAAGCTAGCATCTGGATAAATCTAGCAAATCAGATAACACAACTACCCAGAAATGGATGGTGTGTGTGCATCCAGTGGTGCAGAAATTTCCTGTGCTCTTGGTAAGACATATGTGCTGTGCAGCCTAACCTGCTTCTATTGGGATTTGTGCAAGGCTCTTTAGTTGTTTGGGGAGGGGGATACACACTTGCGCAATAGAAAGGCTCATCAGTTATAATGTTGCTGCTCCATTCAATGGTATCCTCTAAATGGTAAGTGCACACACCCATCACTTCTCTTCCATTGCTCCTGGCCATTTGGTACAACCATAGCACAGATAAAAACATATTAGAACTGAGGTGGAGAGCCCTAATGAAATCTGGAAATGGAAAGACATTAAAAAGTCACCTACCACACACTAAACTAACTTTTTCTTCTGCAACTGTCCCTCATCCTGAGACTTGTCTCCCTGTCTACATAACCAGAAAAGCAAAGCTGAGGCTTCAGTGAGTGCCCTGAGATCTGAGACACAAACTTGCCCACTGAACAATGACCCCTTTGTTTGGTCATAGATCTCTTTCCATCTCTTATTACCCAGCAGGAAGCCCTTTATGAAGGAATTAGGAGTTAATGACACCAGAGGATTTGGCCTTCTAAAGCTCTGCACAGCTGCAGGCAAAGCTGAAGCCACCCACCTTTAAGTAACTGTTTCTAGCAGCCAATCCCCCTTCTATTAAGAAGTAGAAGCCATAATAGCTTGGAAAGCTGTAATTAAATAAGAGGAGGTCAGTTAATGTCAAGTTGTACCATGCTAAGACACATGGATCGCAATAACAAACAAGAGGACTCTTTGTCTAGTTGCCAGTTCACCAGCAGCAACTCCTTTACTCGTTTCCTATAATCCTGTTTAAGGTGAATAAAATTCATCCCTTATAAACAGAACTCTTGAAAGAACACCATTTTGAATGTTGGCATTGGCAAAGCTTGGAAGTAAATAGTTACAAGTAACACAGATAGCTAGTTGTTTTGAGGCCAATCAGAAATATAACAAATAGTCACCGATAAAGTTGGGCACAACTTAAGTCATATCCCTTTGTACAAAGGCCTCCACATGGCACCACAGGTGCCACATGTTCCCTCTCCACCCCACTCCGGCCCACTCACACACCATCACACATCACTGGAATCCTGCGGTGGTGGGGCAGTATGGGCAGGAGTTCAGGCTGTCCTTCCCCACCTCCTACAGCAGGCAACCACTCAACAGCTGTGCAGGAAGAATCCCCATCTCACTTCCCTGCCTGAGTGTTCAGTTGCTGGAGGAGGCAGGGAAGGGCAGTCCGAGCTCCTGCTCAAATAGGCCTGCCACCCTAGAAGAAGAATGCCGGCGGTGCATGATGAGTTGGCCAGCCACCTAGGTAGTGGGGGGAGGGAATGTGTGCAACCTGTAGTCCTGCATAGATGCCTTCGTATAAAGGGTCACAACTTAAGTTGTGTCCATCTCTAGTTACTAATGTACATTAGAATGTGGCTATTAATACTTATATTACTTAGTTACAGCAAGCAGAATAATAGAATCATAGAAAAGTGAAGTTGGAAGGGGCCTATTGTTACCACCAAGTTATTTTCAAAAGTTACTTTTAAAAGACATTTTAGAGACATTGTGTCAAGAATGTTTCAGGACTCATTCTCTAATTATCCCAACTGGCAATGAAAGTAATCTTTAGTTTTGTCTCCTCTATAATTATAAATATTTCCTACGTCCAATGTCAGAATTAGCCACTAGAGAGAGCCAAGATTTTCCTGTATTTTCTGGATTGTTGGGTTCATTCATTAAATTTCATTTTACAGCTACTTTTCTCCCAGTGAACGGACTCAAGACAGCTCATAAATTTTTTTAAGCCAATAAAAACACAATCAATTATTTTAGTAAAAACAGTTAAATATACAATACTAAAAGAATTGGTTAAAATAGTTAAACACACACACACAAAATAATGTGCAGCACTCAAAATCATGAGTGTTTATTAGCTGTTAAAATCCTGTCTAAAAAGGATGATCTTCACTTGTCACTGAAAGAATAGGAGTGAGGAGTCAACCTATTTATTTATTATTTATTCAAAATATTTTTATGCTGCCTTTCTCCCCAAAAGCATCTGAAGTGGCAATATTAAAAGACAATATTAAAAAGATAAAAACAGTGAATATACAGATTAATCCTTTTTAAAAAACCTTTTCAGGCTGCCAGTCACTAAGAAAAAGCTTGCCTAAAGCGAAAGTATACTGCTTGTGAAAGTATATCAAAGATATATCAAAGCCTAGCTTGCCATGAGTGGCAGTTCCAGAGTCTGGGAGCAGCCACGGAGAAGGCCCTCTCCCGTATCCCCACCAAGCACACCTGTGAGGGTGGTGGGACCGAGAGAAAGGCCTCCTCTGATTATCTTAATGCTCAGGCAGGCTTACAGAGGGAGATGTGGTCTTTTAGATAGCTCAGTAGATAGGCCGGACCCAAGCCATTTAGTGCTTTAAAGAATAAAACCAGCACTTTGAATTGTGCCTGGAAATGGATCAGCAGCCAACTCTGCTATAACAGAGGAGTTATATGTTCCCTGTTACGAGCTCCAGTTAGCAATCCGGCTGCTGCATTTTGGACCCTCTGGCATTTCCAAACACTTTCCAAATGGTACCCCACATAGAACACATTACTCTAATCCATCTGAGATGTAACAAGGGCATGTGTCACCATGTCCAGATTAGACCTCTCAAGATATGGGAGAACTAGTTTTAACTATGCAAAGGAACTCCTGGCCACTGCTGAGGTTTGGGTATCCAGGCTCAGAGATGAATCCAGGAGCACCCCACTAGCTGCAGAGCTGTGTTTTCAGAAGGACTGTAACTCCATTCCAGCACAATCTCCAACCCTATTCCTTGATTTGCTTTTTGATTAATCAGAAGCACCTCTGTCTTGTTTGGACTGAGCTTTAGTTTATTCATCTTCATCCAGTCCATTACTGTCACCAGACATTGATCTAGAACTGAAACAACTTCCTTGGATTTAGATGGAAAGGAGAGACAGTGTTGGGTGTCATCTGTGTTCTGGTGACAAAGAAGGCCAAAACGCCAGACAACCTGTCGCAGTAGTTTCATCTTAGTCTCTGAAGGAGGGCATTCCACAACCTGGGAACAGCCACCAAGTCAGTCCTCTTTCACACCAGATGTGCTTGGGAGGGCAAAAGGATTAAGAAAAGGGTCTTTCCTGAATATCCTAGAGCTGAGAAGACACAGTTTTTCAGATATCCCGGACTAAAGACATATAGGGCTTTATAGGTAATAACCAGGAATTTGGGTCCATAAATGAACCAGCACCTACTAGAGTTTGTGGGGAAAATGTATGCTTTTACAATGTATATAGCAGACATTGTGCTTGGGCGCGCAGGTCACGTATACAGTGTGGTTGCTTCCAGTAAGGATGATTCATTAACCTGCTTTGGTATCTAGGATAATTACCTGTCTCTGGGTAAATTCTATTAACTTACTTGTGTATTAAGGTGTTATCTGTCTATGTTTACCCTGCTCTGTATTCAGGAATGTTTACCCTGCTTGCGTATTTAGGATTTACGTGCCTCTGTTTACCAGCCCCTCTGTTTACCATACTTGTGTATTCAGGATATTACCTGCCTGTGTTTAGAATGGTCACTGGTTAACTAGTGCAAAGGTAGTAGAGAACAATAAAAGGGGGGCGCGGCGACGGATAGGGAGGAATTCTCACTGAACAGCATGTTGCACAGCATGCTGTTTAGTTCATCTGGAGCCCCGTCCTGAAAACACACTCGAGTGCCTCGCCTCTTTCTTTCTCCTTGCTGGTTAAGAGGGGGGAAAGGCTTCATCTGCAGATCCCTACAATAAGGTTTCATCTGCAGATCCCTACAACTAAACTTCATCTGCAGATCCCGACAAGAGTTGTTATAACAGGCGGTTTTATGCTTATTGTGACAGCAACTTAGCTGCAGCATTTGAACCAGTTGAAGTTCCCATCTTCAGAGGCAGCAGCCTGTAAAGCACATTGTGCATGCTCTGTGCTGTCAAGTTGGAACTGACTTACAGTGACCCTAATAGGGCTTTCTAGGTAACTGAGAGGTTTTACCGGTTTCATTCTCACAATGAGTTTCCATGGCCAAGTGGGGATTCAAACCCTGTTCTTCAGAGTCCTAGTCCATCACTCCATCCACTATACCACACTAAGAATCCACATAAAGCATATTACAATATGGAGAAGGGAATGTAATCCTGTCTAGCACAGGTTGAATCCTTTTTCTCTGATCTACCTCTCAATAAAGCCTCGAGTAAGTCTCAATTTGTTTGCCATTATCAATTGTCCATTACACATATTAGTTTAAACAGCAACAGCTTCTATGCAGTTAGGCAAAAAGAAGAAATAGCATTGAGTGTCATCTGCTTATTGGTGAAATTAAACTCAAAACTCTGGATAATCTTTCTCCACAGTTTCTTGTATAGGTTAAATAAAATGGGGTACCAAATAGAACCCTGAGGGCAACCACAGACCATACTGTCAAACTGGAATTCACAAGGACCACCTTTGGAGTTTACTCCTCTAGATAAGATCACGGCCATTGTAGAACACGTATCTCTAAGTGCCATATAAGGGAGATGCC